GATAATTGGTGAATAATTGGTGAATATCATTTGGTGGATACAACCACTAACCTATCATCATGTCTCTATCATCATTTAGTATTATTTATTTATTATTTTATTAGTATTTTTATATTCAACATTCATATATACTGTTTAACATTTTTATCATCTATAAACACTATAAATAATAATAATAAAAATGATCATTGTGAGATAAAAATCCGCACCTCACAGTAAATCTCAATATTTTCTTTATAATAATATGCCAACAATGTTAATACAATTTATTTATACAAAATCATAACAACAATTTCCATAAATGCATATTTATGCTTTACTCTCAAAACTATCTTTCACTATCATCAAACAATTCCTTACAATAAGAAATACTAAATAATATTCTGATCATGTTTCTTGGTGGGTGTCCCTCTAGCTGTTTTCCTCTTTGCTACCAAGTCAGGCACATATCTAAAAACTACTTAATAAAATTAATTAAATATTACCTCACTAAAAGAAAAGAAAAGAAATAAAAAATAAAATAAAATAAACAAATACAAAATGAGAGAAATTTTATTATGCTTGGGATTCATTGTTAGAGATAAATTTATTATCATTACAAAAATATAATTCAAAGACTATGACAAGGACAAGGACAAGGACAAGGTTAAGGACAGCATTATTTATTAAACTATTATTATGATGATGATAAAGATGATGAAGATGATACATGAAGTTGAGAAAATTACACCATTATTTATACATGTTAAAGGTTCTATCATCCAATTTTCTGACTTCTTTGAATCCTAATTTATCTTAATTAAATGTATTACTTTGTATAATTATTTTCAAGTTATTTTTAAAGTGATCAATCATTTAAATTAAGGTTTCTTATCCAAACTGTTTTCTCAAAGCCCAAACTAATTTGGGAAATTTAGGCTTTTCAGCATTTTTTATAAACATGAACATTAAAAAACTATACAATCAATTTATTTTAACTTAAACAACTTTAAAGTAGTTTGGGCTTATAAAAAAATAATTTTTGCTAAAGTATTTGAGCAATTTCGGCTACTAATAAAGAGAGTTTTGGCTGGAAACCTTAGGTATGATATTAATCCTTTTATATCAATTGCAAAAGAATTACTACAATGTTTTTTAAAAGAAGATCTAATAAGTGAGCTGGTGATGGTTAGTACCTGCAGAAAAGGAAAAACAGATGCCACTACTGGTTCCAAGGAGAGAAAAGAGAAAAGTTCAAAAAAACTTTTGGTAAATTCCCAAGAACAAGTTTATCAATTTTAGAAGTAGAAGCAGACAAAAAAAGAGAGATTACTATCCCTCAACAGTGAGAATGAATAAGAGTTAATCACCCTGATTTTGATATCTTTATTGATGACAATAGTGCAAAAATTACCTCATGTAGAGACAATTTACCATCAAATAAAACTTATGTTCTCCCTGATTATAAATGTTCTTGTCATTTCCAGCATTCTAATATTTATCATGTCAAAACCACTATCAGTGATTTAAATGATGAAGCTGCAGAGGAATATAAAAAACAAGATTTTAAAGAATGAAGAAAAGTTTGATGATAAATACATTTGATTAAGAATAGCAGGTATAACTTTAATTTTAGGTTTTATAATTGCTATAATTTATGTTTCTAAAAGGACTAAAAAGAAAAAATAGATAAGTATGTAATAATAAGATTCATTTCATATTATTTTCCTTCAAAGGATTTTTGCTTTTTGTTGGGTAATAATACACCTTCATTCTGCTTTCTTTTTCTAACATTTATTATTTTTCTTTCCTCTTGGTAAATTCATAAGTAATCCTTTATTAGATAAGCTTTCTAATGCCTGAGTGTCATTTATTTTAAAAACCTAAGATGCAATTTTTTCACCTTGTTCCTTTTTCAAAATACTTCTAATGTTGCTGTAATTTTTGGGTTCCATGGTAGGCTTAATGTAAATTAGCTTCATATCATTGTTTTATATAGGGGCAATTCTATATATCACTTAATATTAAGAGGGAAGATTTTAATAATCACATTACTAAATTTTGATCCCTGAAATTTTTGGTAATACCAATGTTCACTTTGTCTGGTTTTGTTGCAGCCAAGGTTGTGCAATTTTGCTGTACAAGAAGAATCTTCGTATGACTGACTTTGTACCATTGAGTTCGTACAGTTTTGTTGTGGTTGTACACCTGTACAAGGAAATTTTACATTCATATGTATGTATGTATGTATGTATGAATGTATGAATGTACAATGTATCAGGAATGATGATTTTCTGCAGTGACAAAATATTACTTTGTAAAATCCTATAATAATAATAATATTAAGCCGATAACCCTATTATATAATCATGTTATATATATGCTTATTTAAATCCCTTGTTATTATGTAGTAGTATTATATATGTTATTATTATAGTCAGTGTTGTGCAATTTCATTGTATGAACGTATGATGATTTTCCGTGGTGATAAAATATTATTTTATAATAATGTTATGCTGTCAGCCCTATTACTATTACGATTACTATAATTAAAGGTCGTAACAGATCGTAATACTATTTCGTTATCAGAGAAACCTTGATTATCATATTATACTTACATTATCCTGGGTGCATTATTGTTAGTAGTATTAGTAGTATTATTATTACCGTGATTCCTAAATTTTTGTTTCTATTTATTTATAATGAAATAAAAAAAATATCTTTACATTCTTGTTAATTATATTAGCAATTTAAAATAATTAATAGTAGTATTAATATCTTCAATCATATACAGTATGTATTTAATTCCACAATATAGTCAAACCTTGCCACAGCGGATGAATGGTACACAAACAAATTTTATTTAAAATCCGTTGTGACAAGATTACTAAATACTAATACTAATCTTGCCACAGCGGATTTTTATGTTTTTACATGTGATATGCAAAGCAAAATTTTTTAAAAATCTGTTATGACAAAAGTTTGATTATTATTATTAGTTGTCCACTTCAAAAAAAAAAAAATCTCTGTTTTTCATGTATCAAGCAACTTTCAACCATAATAAATTTTTTAGTGCCAGACTGGGGCTTTTAACAACAGTTAAAAGAAAAGACTAGCTTAAATATTGGTTGTTCTACACCAGGTCAAAAGTGTTTCTTTTCTTCACACTTATTTTAAGATTATTGCTCAACTAGTATGCAGACTAAAGCAAATTCAGCAGCAACAGTTGTGCCAAAGTGTTCCCTACAAAGTCGCTTATAA